TAATATTTCCAGCCAATCATTGTTCGTTATTTGAACGGATCCAAACAGATTTACCGGATCAGATCTCAATATGGATCCGAATTCGACAGATCTGATTTATCATGGATCCGGATCCGATCTGAGCACCAGATCCGGATCAGATCCGGATCTTCGGATCGGATCTGCAGAACACTAGATATACTCAAGAATGGATCAATAATGAAAATATTAACCGTCTTCTCTGGCCAGCACAATCACCTGATTTGAACCCTATTGAAAATGTATGAAAAATATTAAAGGATAATGTTCAATAGTGAAGGCCACCTCCAAAAACTTATGAAACCTTAAAAATGGCACTTCTGGAAGAATGGGAAAATCTAGATTCATCCATCTTGATGAATTTAATTAATAGTATGCCAAATTGTATTAATGAAGTTATTCAAAATAATGGTTATGGTTGTAAATACTAATATTTAATATATATCAACATATGCTGTATAATCATTATATATTAATATTGTAATCACATATTAATTTGCGCAATATATTAACATCGTTGATTTGCATAAATTTTTGTTATGTTTTTTTTGTTATGTTTTTTGTGTAACCGTGTTATACTTTGTGAGGCTACTGTACGTACGTACTAGAGGTGTAGGCGAATCGTCCCAATGATTGGCTTTAGAAAAATACGTACTATTTTAATAGTACACTGAGTGCTTGCTTATTAGGTGGAAGTATCTAAACAATACTCCAGTCAAGTATAATAACCAAGGAAATAAACGCTAGTAAAAGTCGAATTGCACGCGTGGGGTTAGAAAACTTTGGTATTTCAGATTGACCACATATTCCAATACTGGATAACTATCTGTCCGGGCCTCAGATTCGATTCATAATTCTCGCCGTCACGATTATTCCAACCTTTTTCAACCGGTTCACCCAATAACTCTAGTAGAATTAATGTTTCTCCACCCATCTATGAACAGTAATATTATTACCTAATATTTATAAACAGTATTGTCAATTGACATGTATTTAAACATTTAAACATGTTATACAAAAAACAAAATGCTGATAAAATTTTGTTATGACAACTTGATTTAAAGCATTATTTGCCACTAAATTTTACATATTTTCAATAAAAAATTTACCATGACAAATTTCATTGACATCCAAAAAAATTTATGGACATAGCATCGCTATCCCCCACCCTACATAAATATTATCTAATAAATATCACTAACCTTATTGGGATTGGTCTATTATCGTTAGATCAACCAATAAAATAATTTCTGATAACATCGTACCTGGTTTTTTTTTACAAGAAAATGAGATTAAGGATTCGAAGTCAAGATAAAGTTCATATTATTAGTGATTTAACCTCCACGTCAACTGTATTTGAACTAAAAAGCGCAATTCATGCATTAAGTGGAATTAGCCCTCATCGACAAGAGCGTAAGATTTTTTTAAAATCTAAACAATTCAATTCAATAGTTTCGCGACTTTGATGGAATCCCACGTTCATAAGCAGTCAAAATAGGATATCCACCTCGAGTCTGTGGTGCGAAGGACGATGAAATCCTATCCTCCGCAGGTATTCAAAATGGAGACCAAATTATTCTTAGTGAGAATGCCCTACCACTACCAGAAACAACTAGTAGACCAGTTGATAAAGTTGTTAGTTCTTCAGAAGCGGAAATTGTATCAGTTCCTGTAGAAAGTGGATCAGTTATCTTAAGAGTATGTAATTGTGATTCATAACTATGTTTGAAACATTCATGACTATATAATGAATTCAATTATTCTCATTAGGAAATGGAAGATGATAATTCATGCTTATTTCGTGCAATCGGTAAGCCACACAACGATAATATGATCCCTATTATTACTAGTCACTTAGCATGCCTATTTAATTATTTTAATGCATGTGAACATCAGGGTATGGAGATCTTGGTTGTCCTTCATAGTTATTTCTGCTGATATAAGATACTCAAGTGTTTTTATTCGCATCAAAAGTTATGTTTTGGAAAGATCAGCCGATATTCAGAACCTTAGAAATAGTAAGATTTGGTTTATCTGTTAATTTGTATTTATTAATATGTCTTATTATAATTTTTCATCAACCATTAAATTATTTGAATTATTTCAGCTGTTATTAAATGCATAAAGGAAGATCCAGAGACTTATTCTGATGTGATTCTTGGCAAATCGCGAGAGGACTATTGTTCATGGATTGCGCAGAAAAATAGTTGGGGAGGAGCTATCGGTAAAATAATGCATTCCTTTTATTTATTGTTTGGATTTGTTTAAAAGTTATTTCCCGATTAACTTTAATTCATTTAATTTTTAGAACTTTCAATTTTTGCATCTCATTACAAAGTTGGTAAAGATTCTAATCATAAACAAATCAAAATGTATATTATTCATCAAGAACGTTTAAATAGCTAAATTCTAAATTAAAGAAATTCGTAGTGTCGATGTTAAGTCCGGAAGAATTGATCGATACGGTAGATTAGGAGTTTTGTACATTTATTCACAAAAACCCGATTTTCATCATATTTAAATGTTCTCTACAGGCCATGGCATCTATGACCAATGTGTATACGTGATATACAGGTTCGTAGTGGACATATTCACAAAAGCTTCAATACCAAAGAAGTACGTCTTCGTTATACTAAAAAATTCATTTTTTTAGTGGTATACGTACGTAAGCATTGACTAGCTAGATTTTATTACTTGTATTGAAGAATTGAACAACTTTCATTTCTATTATACAATTATTAAGATTATGACTCGGTCGCTCTAACTCCAATGATTGGAGCTGACAAAGAATACGAACAAACAATCTTTAACACATCAGACGAATCCATCCTAAATGCGGTAATCAAGATTGCCGATAAAATGAAACAGGTAATTCGTAAATTAATTCTGGGCATTGTTATATAATGTAAATGCATTATTCTATTTATATCGTATTCTGATCGTTATTGAACAGTTGCGTAAATACACGTACACTTCTGATTTCACTATACGTTGCGGACAATGCCAGAAAGGCTTGAAAGGAGAACAAGAAGCTGTACAACATGCTCGAGAAACAGGTAAAACAGTAATATAAATTTTGTTTTGTTTAAATGAATATTGACATGGTGAATATATAATTTGATGATAGGTCACACTTCCTTTACCGAGTATGATGAATAAAAATATTTGTCCCGAGAAAATAGGAATTTATTAAAAATCATTTGAAGATTGGGGTACTTGAGTTTATTCAAAATCTTGGCAAAAATTCAGCATTCATATCCTGATATGGGAACGCCCACAGCAAAAGCAGGAGATGGGTCTATATAATATATAGTCCATCCCCTGGTTTTACTGTGGGTGTCCCCATATACGGAAGTAGAAGATCTGGATAGATTATAATTCAGTGTTTTCGTTTATATATTATGATTATATCTGATAATTATATATTGATTATTGATTATTGAAATAAAAAAAACAATATATAACTTGAGTTTAAGAATTCAAAAAATTTATTAAAAAGTTTTAGTCAAATTCTATAAAGGTTTAAGTTAGGATATATGGTTTTTTTTGAATTGTCTACATATTTTACTAGTTTAAAACTACTTCTCTAAAAAATATATCCTATTGTAAAATTTGGTTAGGCGGGTAATAAAATTGAAAAATTAATCTTGTGTGACCTAATCCTATTTTCTTGCAAAACAAGAATTATGGCAAGAGACCCTAGTACAAAATACGGTATTCACCCCTGTAATAACAAATATTATCGGGAGATAAACGCGTTCAATACTTACGTATAACTTTCGTCTAGGACCAAAATGTTTTCCTCGCGTAATGGAATTGTTTTTAATAATTTAATTCAATCACTTGACTTGTCAAAAGATGAGAAGCGTATTAAGTCAAAGGCAACCGAAATTTCGAGCCAAATGGACGTGAAAATTGGAAGTGCACCTGGTTTTAAAGATTGGACAACATGCAAACCTATCTACGCAGTTCATATTGCCTGCGAACTGTAATGCCCTTATACATATCAATTTCAAGCTTGTTTTTAAATTATTGCTTACCTTTATTTAAATATCTATTCAGACTTCATATTCAATTCGACCGAAAAAAACTGTTGAAATTAGCAAACACTACTGAACAGAATTATCATTCTTCACTATCTTACATCAAAAAAATATTGGAAATTCCTTCTTCGATAAGTTTTGACTCACTAGCTGCGAGATTTGGATGCCCCAAAATTATTCCTTACGTTGAAACAATGTTTGAAATTTTCAAAGAAGAGTGGGTTAAGGATCTAAGTGCAGCGAATATTAGAGAAATTGATTGGAATGATGACATTTATAAGATAGCAGTATTTGGGTGTTGTGGTAAAGTTTTCGGGGTAAGTCTCAATTAAAACATTTGTATATACGTTTTTTACATTTCATGCATTCATTGAATTAAAATTATTTAAGGCACAAAGTCGAATCAACCAACAATTAATAAATTCGCCTGATATTTCCGTATCACGTCCTGCATTTCAAAATATGACGCGACTCATTGAAAAATATTGTAAATCTTATATTAACGAACTTAAGTCTCAAATTAAAAATGAGGGTCTCGCGACATTTATGATATCTCCAGTGAAGGGGAATAATTATGTAAATGATGTTAGTGAAGGAAGCATTAAAAAAAGAACGCGACAAGACTATGATGATGATGATGATGATGATGATGATAATGATGGTAACCCAAAAGAAGAATCTTCTTTAGGAGACCGGGCAGGAAATGGAACGATGGTATGTGAATGGGTAATTAGTAGATAATTTAATGATTGCATATTAATGACGCGTTTCGTTTTTAATAGAAAATTGTGAATTTTAAAGAGACACCATTATATAACGATTATATTGTTTGGAGATCTAAAATTTTAGAGAAAATTGAAGAAATGGAGAACTAATAATAGTCAGGGAAGATGTTACGCCCAGTGATAAATTATAATAAAAATATATAAATTTATTATAAACTTTAAGAAAATAACCAATGTTCACCACAGGTGATTATCACCTGTGATTTAAGAAGCATAAACAAAAGGCAATTTTTATTTATACACGGGCGATATAGATATCTTAAAATTTTGATACCACCTTTGGCTTCTAACAAAAAAAAATTCCTTGAGAAATTTTGGTATAAACTACAGTCAACTCCCTCTAAGTGCACATCCTATGTAAATGCATGCCTTCTCTTGGTCCCAACTAATATTACACCTATAGATTTTAGCTCTCTAAATGCAATATCTCTCTAAGTGCACGTCTGCAAAATTTTTATATATGATCCCGTCGCATTGCACTTAGAGAGAGTTGACTGTATATCTTGCTCAATCCCAAACCTACTTTTACCCTAACCATAAGTGAGGGTTTAATTTTTCATTTTTAAAAAATTGGTTTGATTAGTATATTGCGCAAATAAGTAACTTCGCTATTCACGATACTAGTATTTATCAATAAATCAGATACGTTAGATTAAAAATTATTAAAATATGCAAAAATAAAAATAAAAACGAGCATTAGTTGGCTGGTTATCCAGATCACACCACGTGGAGGTCAATGCTGTGTATTGCATTTTTTGGTAGATTTGGTATTTATTAAGGAATAACAAAGTTAGTAAATGAAAAAAGTGACGAAATTAATGGTAAAGAATAAATTCGTTATAAAAAGAAAATTTTTATAGGGTTCTTATAAATGATATCTAAAGTAAGATTAATTAAAGATAGATCCGGGTTTTTTATATGGCAATTTATGCGTTTAAAGAATATCAAAGGTATTAGAATTTTTCTAAGATAAAAAACTGATGTATATAGTATATTGATTTACTGAGAGTTGACTATATTATAATTTTGTAATTTTTACATCATAGCGGTCTTTGGTTGTTAAAAGAATAGGACGAATTTTTGATTTTTCCGCCTCCCTTATAGCACCTGTTGTAAAATTAATCCCAATAACAATACCTATAGTACCGCGTTTTTCCGTACATGTAACCCCTCTCAAGGATCTAATGGTCTCTGGTCCTGTAATCAATTGATAAATAAAAATAAATGTTTTATAATAAAATTAGGAACGCTTTTTTCACCATGAAAATAAATATTTTATAATAAAATTAGAGAATGCCTTTTCCACCATTGGACGTAATTTATCATAACCATATTCGTCGTGTTTATTGTAAATTTCTATGGCAGAAATAGGCGTTCCCTAAAATTAATATAATAATTACCTATGTTATTGGTCCAATTTTTACATTGGATAAGGATTAGCCTTCCTTTAAACCAGCATCTTATATCGACACCGCCATCTCCCCTTCTCCTATAAGTGACAATATGTAAGTACGTGTATCATCGTTATTAACAACTAAATATTGCACGGCCGGAATAGTCTA